AAACATATTTTGTCATCATAATAAACCTCGTAAAACCACTTGTTAGACCATAAAGTTCATGTTTGAGTGAGGTGGGGGGGGGGGGGAGGAAAAAGAGCCGAATATACCTGTAAAACCGCTCGTTACCCCATAAAAATGATGCTTATGTGGACTTTTTCCTTTTCCCCCCACCTGCCAATTTTTACAGGTAAAATTTTGTCTACGTTGTCCGATTGTTACAAAAATTGGCATGCGGACTAATAATAAGGCTTGAGTGTGTAAAAATTGATGCTTATGAGTGTGGCGTGTTGGGAGTAGGGGGGGGGGGGGGGGGGCTTGGTGGTTAGGAAAAAGAGCCCTTATGTGAGGTGGGGGGAAGGCGAAACAATTGTACCATAGTTGTACCTTGAACGAATCGGCACTATCAATCACTATTTCAGTGCCATGCAACTTGATATCCGTTATCTTATCGTCTTATACTTATACTTATCACCTTGAATGAGTTCTAATACACATCCAAATCCGACAATGCATTATTCTAACCTATTTAACTTGCGTAGTAAATGAAGCCATATTTGTAAATGAAGCATGACTCTTGTACACCGCTCAGTTGATATCACGCAATTATTCATTGCTAATCGGTCCAGATCGTCTAGTGGTTAGGACATTGCGTTGTGGCCGCAATAACCCAGGTTCGAATCCTGGTCTGGACATATATTTTGCGATTCTTTCATACCTTACATTATTGTATCTAGTATAGTAAGACCTCGATCCATAAATATTTTACGGCTCTTTTCCAGTTTCTCACCCCCTCCAAAAATTACAAAATTAAGCTGTTTAACAATTGTTCACACGGCATTTTGCATGAAAGAAATGTTCATCAGCATTTTGCATGAAAGACTCTCTTTTCTTTAACCGCCCACCTACAAATTTTTACCAAAACTTTTTTGTTCACATTGTCGGATTGTTACAAAAATTGGAATTTCGGACAAATGGCTCTTTTTCCTTCCCCCCCCCCCCCCCACCTCACAATAAATTTTCATAACAATCGGACAATGTGGTCAATAAATTTACATGTAAAAAATTGCAGGTGGGGGGGGGGGGGGGAAGGAAAAAGAGCCGGACAAATTAGGCTATGAGAAATATATTTATTCTTCATATTTAACCTTGCAAAACTACGTCGTCGGTTACAACGTAAAATCGATGCATATGTGAGGCGTGGCAAAAATAGTTTCAGAATGGGGGGGAGTAGTATTAAAGTAGAAAAGGAGTGCATTATAAAAGTAGGTACTATAAAAGTAGAAAAACCTTTTATGTGTTTTTTTTTAAAACGGAACATTCTGTCGGAACATTCTGTCCTACTTGCACAATAACCCCCGCATTTAAGAAAACTGAAAACAAATCGATTATAATGGATTTTTGTGGTCTAAACATAATCGATTCCCATGTTACGCTCAGACAACAGAATTGGACTAAAAATGGATTTAAATCCATCCCGCACCGAGCGCCCATGGATCATAATCGATTATATTGTCGTAATATGGTCAGCATCTATAAAATGACAAAATAATCGATTATAATCCATTAAAAATGGATTATAATCCTTATATTTTTTATCCCAATAAAATCCATTATAATCGATTATAATCGATTATAATGGATTTTTTCGAGGGGTTGGTTATTCATGAAATTTACAATTTTGTTCAAAATTATCTCATTTCCTGTTTAGTGTAAATGCTACGTGTTATGGCTATATAATCAATTTCGTGGTCTGAACTTTACATCTGTAATGGATTATAATCGATTATTTTTGTCTCGGGAATCCATTATAATCGATTAGAATCTTTGGGCGCTCGGTGCGGGATTTTTCTCGCAAAAACAAAATGCATTATAATTCATTACTAATGGATTATATAAAAAGAAAAAATGACATTAAAACTTTCTTGCGTTTATTTGTTTTCTGCTCTTTTTACCTTTCTTCCCCATTCCACATAAGCATCAATTTTATGGTGTAACGAGGGGTTTTACAGGGTTATTCATGAAAACCAAACATATTTGTAATAGACTTCCCGCACTGACAAAAATGGAATAGAATCTATTTTAGTATGAAAAAAGTAAGTTGATTAAATTTTGATCAATTTTAGTATGAAAAAAACACGTTACTTAAATTTAGATCGATTTTAGTATGAAAAAAGTACGAAGATTGAATAAAAAGATGAAGATTGATTTGGATCGATTTAAAATCGATTTAAATTGATCTTAAATCCCAGCTAAAAAAATTGATCCAAATCGATTTTAAATCAATTTAAATGCATTTTTCGGTCTGAATTTGTTTTTATTTTTAAGGGGGGATTAAAGCGGATTTAAATAGATTAAAATCGATTTTTTTTCATTCGAGATTTATCAGTTTAATGTGATCAAATTTTAATTTATTCTGACCCTTTTCTTGTTTGTTACACAGGATTTTGCAAAATTTACAATTTACATTTTCTATAATTGCATTATCTATTTTCGAGCCTAAAATCTGACTTATGTGGATCATTTTATTGAATTCTATAACATCTGGCACGAGTGTTTATTTTTAAAAAATCGAGAATAAAAAATTCCAACAGTTTTTTCAAAGGGTATGTTTTTTTGCCGTGTTCGCAAAAAAAATGATTTTAGTGACTCTGAAAATCCATTCAAATCGATTTAAATAGATTTTTAAAACACTCAAATTGATCCAAAATTTTCAAATAAGATCGATTTAAATCGATTTAAGATGGATTTAAGTGAGTTTCGGATGGATTTTAGTGAGTCGGAAAATCAATCCAAATCGATTTTTTAGACACTAAAATCGATTGAAAATTTTCAAAAAGATCAATTTAAAATCCATTTAAACTCGTTAAATGTACATTTTTAATCGATTTGAACCGATTTAAAATCAAATTAAATCGTTCCGAAATCATTTTTGTCAGTGCGGGTTACCAGTCCAAACGTCATTTTATTTAACAATAGGACAATGTTAACAAAAAAATAACTGCAAAAGTTAGGTGGGGGATGATGGAAGGAAAAAAGCCTCGTTTTCTTATCTCGATACTGATTGATTTATGCATTGTCTACTTTATGACCCGTCTACTTTTTGCTAAGTAACTTTTGAAATTGATGTTACTTTCTTCAACAAAACGCGGGTGTAATTTGAGCTAAAGGGTGGCAATTTCGAGATGGAGAGACTGAATGTTGAAGTTTTTTCGGACCATGCTAACATTCTAACCCCCCCCCCCCTCCCCACTACCGCCCTCAAATAGATTTAGGGGAGGATGTTAACTTGGTTCTGAGTTCGATTTTTCAGCCAATTAGAAGAAAGCTTCAACAGAAAATGAATTATAACAGCACAGCAGTCTTTCTGTACAATTCGTGCAGATATAGAATCAATTTTTGGTTTTGTTTTTCTATTTTTTTTAAAACGGTATTCTCAAAAGTATACGGTTTTCAGAAAAAAATAACATCCTCCTCCTAAGTTAGATTTTTTTTAGCTTTATCCAGGTTTTTTTTCCCAATAGCCTGCTTCGATTTCACATTATGTGAAAGTTCATGTATCTGATGATTTTCTTATCAGTCAATAATAATTTTGATAGACTGGATTTATGCGCTTTCTTTGAGATTTCCGCAATTTATTTGAGATTTTGAACCATCTGGTGCCACATAGTCCACCGTTGTATGGAGAAATTCAACTTTGTATTCCAGGGTTGAAAATTCCCACAAAAATTCCTCTATCACAGAGCTTCTTATAAGATTTGTAAGGAAATTTTGGTATCTTAACTCTATCATACAAGAAAAATTCTAAGATAGCCAATTTTTTTCAAGAGAACATGAAAATTGGACAAAATATCAAAAACGTTTCGAATGTCTTTTATTATGGTAACTACGAATGCACAAAATTTTAAAAAAACTTTCTGAAATAAAAACTTTCAATTTTGTCGCATATTTATTAATTTACGAAACACAAAAATCGAAACAAAAAATTGATGTTTTCAGAACTTAAAATTTTCAAAAGAAACGTGATTGAAAATAGCAGATCAATTAAATAAATTAGAACTGAAGATTTAATGAATAAAACATCTAAAAACTGGTCTTTGCCATCATAGCACCCCATAATGGCAAGCATATTAAGCGGATAGTTTAATGCAGATATGAACCATCCGCTTATAACTAAAAAATAAAAATTATGACAAAATTCTTATGAAAAAAAACAACGAATTTTGACAACCATTATTATTTAATCAACGTATAAAAAACTGAAGGCATCCACGCTAATTTTGCAAATAACAAATCGCAACGCATGAAACCACATTATGTACAAAATATGCATTTCAAAAAATTGCGAGATATATTGAGTTAGAAAAGTTCTGAAATCGAGTTTTTATGATTATTCTGTTGTTTGAAACAAATAACTTTTTTCGGTTCATTTGATGAATTAAAAATGCATCAACTGTGTTAACTTATTACTATTCGAATGTCAAAGCACATGCTATCAAAAAGCCTTAAAGGTGCTTCAAAAAGGGCATCAATATTTGCGGTTTAGATTAGAAAAAAAATCGTACTATAACACTAACGCACAGGCGCGGATCTAGGAAATCACTCCTAAATCACTATAAAGACCGAAATTTGACCAAACTTTTCATTTTCTGCGCGCCAGGCAAATTTCTGAAAAAAGGCCAAAAAAACGTTTTCAGGCATTTTTTGGAAAATTCCGACCAAAAAGTCGCGTTTTTTCGGCGCGCGCTCCCCCCTCAAAATTAGGAACGATTGGCGCCAAAGGCACCTTTAGAAAAATTTTAAGGTCAGTCAACCAAAAATGGATGTCTCAAAATAGTATAAAGGGGGACCCTTTGGGTCGGCAGGGGGTAGGGGGTCAAGTCCCTGAGGAAAGGGGGGACGTCCCCCCTAAATCCGCATCTGCTAACGCTCACTAAAGTTCGAGCGTTTGAAAAAGAACTTGTAATATAACACATGATATGGATGAGGATTGTATAACTGACCTTCGTCATCTGACTCGACAGCGCGTGTTCCTTTGGTCGAGATGAACTGCTCGTGCTGAAACAAAAAAAAAACTAAAATCAGAATTACCATGAAACATTTTTTGCCCAAAGGTCGGGTTTTCCTTATTCGACCCAAATTTGGAAATCTAGGAATAAGTGAAGAGAAACAAATTTGTTTGCACTTGATTGGTTAAAAGCAAGCCAATTCACAATGCCAAAGTATCATTCAAAATTATTTTATCTATTATTACGGCAATAATAAAACTATTTTTGGCCGAATTAAAAAAGTACTCAATTTATCAAACTGATGTAAAACTTTTGTTAATGAGTCAAAATCAGTTTCTAATCGCAATTAAGCATAAGTTGACTCTAAACTTAAGTTGGCATTTCTAGAGTGCCCTCAGACAATCAAATTTTGCTCAAATTCCCTTTTTTTAGACACTGCAATTTGTGATATAAAAACACTGCAATTTCTGTTTTTATTAAAATTTCGGATATCTTCAAATACCCCCTTTGGGAACCTAGAAAAAAATGTTCCCCCTATGAAGACATAATTCAAACGTCAAACATAAGAGAATTTGTCGCAAGTAGTACCAAGAGAATTACAATTGTACCAAGAGTATTACAATAAAATTCTTTGTATCAAGAGTATTACAATAAAAACTGTGAAAGTTGTACTATATAATGTGTACAAAATAGGTATATATATAGCCTTTTTCAGCCTGTTTTTTCAAAATCAATTTGATCGACCTAAAAAAGGTCGACAAAATTTTCGATTTTTTTCTTGAAAATCCGCCCGCCCCCCTCGAGAAAATCCTATATCCGCCCCTCTTCTCTACGTCAAACTAAATTTCATAACATTATGGCCTCCCGTAAATTATATGTTCAATCTTGAATTTCAATGGGGGAAAATGAAAAGAAGCCAATTAATTTAACTGACTATTATAAACGCAAAAAAAATCAAAGAGCATCCAGAGCAAAATAATCCCGCTCGTTTCAGCCATCCGGAAACTTTTTCCACTTTTCTTCCTTTAATTTTAAATTTTTTTAAATTGTTCAAATCGCAAGGAGCATGATTGAAACGTTTTTTTTCAGATACCAGTTGACAAAAATTACTGAATTAAACGATTCAATCGATTAGATCTATAAAAAAAATCCTTATTTGGTCTCAAGGACTGAACTTTTTTTTTCAAGTTCGGAGAATGCCAGATTTCACCATTTGCAATAAGTTGTCCCAAAGAAAAAATATATACAACAGAGTTTAGGAAACCTATCACTCTAAACATTCAATTTTCTCGCTAAAAATGTTTCGTATCGAATGAACAACTTAATTCTACTCCACTTATAAAGCAAAAAGTTCAGTCTGCACAAAAACTTACTGGAGATGGTGAAGATGGACTTTTAGACCAGGAATCAGAAAATCCATTGAAAAACTTACTGGAGATGGTGAAGACGGACTTTTAGACCAGGAATCAGAAAATCCATTGAAAAACTTACTGGAGATGGCGAAGACGGACTTTTTAGACCAGGAATCAGAAAATCCATTGAAAAACTTACTGGAGATGGTGAAGACGGACTTTTTAGACCAGGAATCAGAAAATCCATTGAAAAACTTACTGGAGATGGTGAAGACGGACTTTTTAGACCAGGAATCAGAAAATCGATTGAAAAACTTACTGGAGATGATGAAGACGGACTTTTTAGACCAGGAATCAGAAAATCCATTGAAAAACTTACTGGAGATGGTGAACACGGACTTTCTAGACCAGGAATCAGAAAATCCATTGAAAAACTTACTGGAGATGGTGAAGACGGACTTTTTAGACCAGGAATTAGAAAATCCATTGAAAAACTTACTGGAGATGGTGAAGACGGACTTTTAGACCAGGAATCAGAAAATCCATTGAAAAACTTACTGGAGATGGTGAAGACAGACTTTTTAGACCAGGAATCAGAAAATCTATTGAAAAACTTACTGGAGATGGTGAAGACGGACTTTTTAGACCAGGAATCAGAAAATCCATTGAAAAACTTACTGGGGATGGTGAAGACGGATTTTTTAGACCAGGAATCAGAAAATCCATTGAAAAACTTACTGGAGATGGTGAAGACGGACTTTTTAGACCAGGAATCAGAAAATCCATTGAAAAACTTACTGGAGATGGTGAAGACGGACTTTTTAGACCAGGAATCAGAAAATCCATTGAAAAACTTACTGGAGATGGTGAACACGGACTTTCTAGACCAGGAATCAGAAAATCCATTGAAAAACTTACTGGAGATGGTGGAGACGGACTTTTTAGACCAGGAATCAGAAAATCCATTGAAAAACTTACTGGAGATGGCGAAGACGGACTTTTTAGACCAGGAATCAGAAAATCCATTGAAAAACTTACTGGAGATGGCGAAGACGGACTTTTTAGACCAGGAATCAGAAAATCCATTGAAAAACTTACTGGAGATGAGAAGACGGACTTTTAGACCAGGAATCAGAAAATCCATTGAAAAACTTACTGGAGATGGTGAAGACAGACTTTTAGACCAGGAATAAAAAAATCCATTGAAAAACTTACTGGAGATGGTGAAGACGGACTTTTAGACCAGGAATCAAAAAATCCATTGAAAAACTTACTGGAGATGGTGAAGACGGACTTTTAGACCAGGAATCAGAAAATCCATTGAAAAACTTACTGGAGATGGTGAAGACGGAATTTTAGACCAGGAATCAGAAAATCCATTGAAAAACTTACTGGAGATGGTGAAGACGGACTTTTTAGACCAGGAATCAGAAAATCTATTGAAAAACTTACTGGAGATGGTGAAGACGGACTTTTTAGACCAGGAATCAGAAAATCCATTGAAAAACTTACTGGGGATGGTGAAGACGGATTTTTTAGACCAGGAATCAGAAAATCCATTGAAAAACTTACTGGAGATGGTGAAGACGGACTTTTTAGACCAGGAATCAAAAAATCCATTGAAAAACTTACTGGAGATGGTGAAGACGGACTTTTTAGACCAGGAATCAGAAAATCCATTGAAAAACTTACTGGAGATGGTGAAGACGGACTTTTTAGACCAGGAATCAGAAAATCCATTGAAAAACTTACTGGAGATGGTGAAGACGGACTTTTTAGACCAGGAATCAGAAAATCCATTGAAAAACTTACTGGAGATGGTGAAGACGGACTTTTTAGACCAGGAATCAGAAAATCTAATGAAAAACTTACTGGAGATGGTGATGACGGACTTTTTAGACCAGGAATCAGAAAATCCATTGAAAAACTTACTGGGGATGGTGAAGACGGACTTTTTAGACCAGGAATCAGAAAATCCATTGAAAAACTTACTGGAGATGGTGAAGACGGACTTTTAGACCAGGAATCAGAAAATCCATTGAAAAACTTACTGGAGATGGTGAAGACGGACTTTTTAGACCAGGAATCAGAAAATCGATTGAAAAACTTACTGGAGATGGTGAAGACGGACTTTTTAGACCAGGAATCAGAAAATCCATTGAAAAACTTACTGGAGATGGTGAAGACGGACTTTCTAGACCAGGAATCAGAAAATCCATTGAAAAACTTACTGGAGATGGTGAAGACGGACTTTTTAGACCAGGAATTAGAAAATCCATTGAAAAACTTACTGGAGATGGTGAAGACAGACTTTTAGACCAGGAATCAGAAAATCCATTGAAAAACTTACCGAAGATGGTGAAGAAGGACTTTTTAGACCAGGAATCAGAAAATCCATTGAAAAACTTACTGGAGATGGTGAAGACGGACTTTTTAGACCAGGAATCAGAAAATCCATTGAAAAACTTACTGGAGATGTTTAAGACGGACTTTTTAGACCAGGAATCAGAAAATCCATTGAAAAACTTACTGGAGATGGTGAAGACGGACTTTCTAGACCAGGAATCAGAAAATCCATTGAAAAACTTACTGGAGATGGTGAAGACGGACTTTTTAGACCAAAAATTAGAAAATCCATTGAAAAACTTACTGGAGATGGTGAAGACGGACTTTTAGACCAGGAATCAGAAAATCCATTGAAAAACTTACCGAAGATAGTGAAGAAGGACTTTTTAGACCAGGAATCAGAAATTCCATTGAAAAACTTACTGGAGATGGTGAAGACGGACTTTTTAGACCAGGAATCAGAAAATCCATTGAAAAACTTACTGGAGATGGTGAAGACGGACTTTTTAGACCAGGAATCAGAAAATCCATTGAAAAACTTACTGGAGATGGTGAAGACGGACTTTTTAGACCAGGAATCAGAAAATCTATTGAAAAACTTACTGGAGATGGTGAAGACGGACTTTTTAGACCAGGAATCAGAAAATCCATTGAAAAACTTACTGGGGATGGTGAAGACGGATTTTTTAGACCAGGAATCAGAAAATCTATTGAAAAACTTACTGGAGATGGTGAAGACGGACTTTTTAGACCAGGAATCAAAAAATCCATTGAAAAACTTACTGGGGATGGTGAAGACGGATTTTTTTAGACCAGGAATCAGAAAATCTATTGAAAAACTTACTGGAGATGGTGAAGACGGACTTTTTAGACCAGGAATCAGAAAATCCATTGAAAAACTTACTGGAGATGGTGAAGACGGACTTTTTAGACCAGGAATCAGAAAATCCATTGAAAAACTTACTGGAGATGGTGAAGACGGACTTTCTAGACCAGGAATCAGAAAATCCATTGAAAAACTTACTGGAGATGGTGAAGACGGACTTTTTAGACCAGGAATCAGAAAATCCATTGAAAACTTACTGGAGATGGTGAAGACGGACTTTTTAGACCAGGAATCAGAAAATCGATTGAAAAACTTACTGGAGATGGTTAAGACGGACTTTTTAGACCAGGAATCAAAAAATCCATTGAAAAACTTACTGGAGATGGTGAAGACGGACTTTCTAGACCAGGAATCAGAAAATCCATTGAAAAACTTACTGGAGATGGTGAAGACGGATTTTTTAGACCAGAAATTAAAAAATCCATTGAAAAACTTACTGGAGATGGTGAAGACGGACTTTTAGAC